TCCTCCCATCAGACATTTGGCAAACAAAAAACCATCCTCACCACACCCCTCCAGGTGCTCTTAATCCCGTGATTAATGGGCGGGTCCATGAGCCAATGAACCAATCACTTTCCAAAACCTTTTCCAATAAAATGAATTACAAAGTAACATAACAAAACTAGGTCAGCATATTCTCACAACTTTAAAGAAAAAACAAGAATGGATACAAATTGTGTTTTATAGACATTCAACAAAAACACAACATTACATCTCACATCACCAGCCCCAACCATGACCTGCTGCAGTGATGAGGTGAATCTGTGAGTAGTACTGTGAGTGATCGAGGGACAGCAAAGTGAGCAGTGATGTAAATAATAACATAAATAATGAACTCAGCACGGCCCACCGTCCACCCCGACCTCCTCCTGTAGGCGCTCCACTGGCTAATCAGACAAACTGTTTGTGCTTGCTCCTTTCTGCTTTGACAAATGTTGCAGCACCAGTGGCTCGTGAGCGTGCACGAGGCCCAGCATGCACGCTCATGTGTCGACAGCTGATGGTGGCTGGCCCATCTGATCTGGGGAGGACGACCTGCACCACAGCCTGAGGGTGAGCTTTGTTGACAACGTCCAGACAACATCTGTCTCCGTCACCTCTGGGAGGAGACGGGATCCCCACCTCCCACCACCACCCCTCCTCCATGTTCTCACGGGAGACAGAGAGACCCCCCCCCCGAGTGAGGGGGGAGGGGTCGTCTGTCCCCAGGGAGCAATCAGTTTTTCAATGACGCCCATCTGTCACAACAAGGCTCCAAACTTTACAGCCCCTCAAAAACAAAGCAGACGACAACCTGGTTTCCACTCACGTGAATCCACGCCACGGGCCACGAGGGCGCCGCGCTCTGATTGGTTAGTCTGACTCATGTGAGACACGTCCTCGCTCGCCGTGTATGATAAAGTGTCCTGGACCCCATTGTTGATCTGTGTGCCCACAGCTCAGGGTAGACCAAGACACACACACACACACACACACACACACACACACACACACACAGTGTGTACTCAGAGTCCACAGGTACTCTGATGTCCGCTGCTCGTGATTGGCCGATTGGTCCTGCTTGGCGCCCTGTGAGGTCAGACGGTGTCAAGAGTCAGGCCGAGCGTCGTCGTGTTGTGAGGCGGCAAGCAGGAGGTCACAGCTCTGTGACATCATCGTGGATGGAAGCGTGGAGCTGCGAGCGCCGTCCTCACTGACATGTTACTTCCTGTTTGTACAGCACGGGTTCAAACACTGCAGGCTGAGCTCAGCTGGTGACAGTGGGAGGAAGAACGCCCCTTTAACAGGAAGAGACGTCCCACAGAGGCAGAGCTGGGCCCATCTCCTGGGAATAAAAGGTGAAGCAGAGCGAGGGAAACGTTTGTTGGCGTCGCACCTTCAGGCGCCAGAGCGAGCAGCAAACACGTTAGCTTCATGAAACCAAACCCTCTGATCACCTGCTGCTGTACGCTGACCCTCACACAGCCGAGCAGGGCGGAGCTGACACACGCGGCAGTTTACGGTGATGATGGGCGTTACCTTGGTAACACCGCTCTTAAAAACTAAACTGAAGATCAGAGGTTAAAGTGCGAAACAATAACTGATACAGGAAGTGCTCGCTCACTCTGCACATACTTTTACATGGTCAGGAAACGGTACCAGTACACGTGCTGGGAGTACTGGTACTGCAGTAACAGGCTCCGCTGCTGTGAGAGCCTCGCCTCTCTGCAGCTCCCTCGCCCGGCCTCAGGTACCAGGAGCTGCAGCTGGATCTCAGGTCCAGGACAGCGAAACCATGGAAGGCTGTGACCTCACACACCAGCACGCCATCAGAGCCTGAACCTTGGGGGAGGGGGGTGTAAGGTTAAACTCATCTCGCACTGAGGTGATGCAGGAGGAGGAGCCAGTCTGCACAGTCAGCACAGGTTTAGGAGAACGAACACCTGATCCATCCCAGCGACAGCCGTCCATCAGCTCGGGCTTCTTCCTGTTCAGAAGGAGTTCTTCCTTCCCACTGAGCAGCGAGCTGCTGATAGGCTCGTCTGACTGTTGGGGTTTCCCACCCCTATCGCAGGGTCTTTACGCTAAAGCAGCTGGAGGCTGTGATTTGGTGCTACTGTATAAATAAAGTTGAGTTGATTCTGAAAAAGAGAAGACAGTAAACGCAACGTGAGGCGCTTTTAAGGTTTCCACGCTGAGGTGAAACTCCGCCCCTTTGCAGATGTAAGTATGACTCAGCTGTCACCAGCCTAAAGCTCCGCCTCTGAGACCTGATAGGCTATCCATCACCAAGATCAACGTAAAACTGGACATGTGTGTGCTGTTTTTAATGATGTCATGTGACCAATGAGGTCACTGTACTAACAGAGCATCTAGGAAGGCGGAGCTCTTCAGGGAGGATTTTGATGATGTTACTCATCAGCAGGTACGTGAGAGTCAGCTGATCGTGTCTGTGGGTTAACGATGGTGCTGATTAACGAGCCGCTAACACAGCGCTGAGTCAGCGCTCTCACACGCTGAGATGGCTGCTTGGATCATGTGACTCTGTGCTCTGATTGCAGCGTCCATGTTTCACCGCTCTGATAGATGACCTGCTTTCTCAGATCAAGGATTTCTGTGTGCTGGGAGGCCGAGCCATGGATGCTCAGTATGTTGGCGCCGTTGTTGTCATGTGACCATTTACCTGCATGTTATAAACCTCTGGGTTTTCTTACCTGAGGAAGCAGCAGAAACGGTGCTTTTTATTGTAAACACAGTGAATCAGACGATCCTACCCGGAGCACTCTGCAACAGCGGGAAGGAAGAACTCCCTCTGAACAGGAAGAAACCTCCAGCAACACCAGGCTGAGGGAGGGGCGGGGCCATCTGAGAGGAGGAATACGGGACAAAGACGCGCCGTGGAAGAGAGCCATGGATGAATAATGACTGATGACTCGATGCAGAGAGGTGTATGTCACATGGTGACTGATGAAGAAACACTCAGTGCATCATGGGAATCTCCTATATCTATTGCTTATCGTCATAGTAACGCGTCTGCACGTGCCATGACGTAATTAATACGAACGCTACAACAAAGGTGGACGTCGAGGCGACGCTGTACCTGCTGCTCAGCCTGTGACTGTTCGTCACACGCGCGGACCACAGCGTTGTTGGAAACATGTCCCTCGTTGACCGGTTTTAAAAAATGCCGGTTCAGATTTTTGTAAACAAGACGCTCTGATCGAGCACAGCTACTGACCAGCCAATCGCTGACATGCAGTGTGACGTCACATTTTAGTACCTGCTTGGATTACTTGCAACCCTGGGTGACCAGGAACCAAGAATGTACCTGGTACCAGGAACCAAATGGAAAACCATGGAAACCGTGATGAACCGCCCCGAGTCGATCCCAGTAGGAACAGAAAAAGGGGGTCCTCACTTTTCCACAGCTCCGAATCAGGTGTGTGTCTCTGTGCAGCCTCAGCAGCTTGAGGCTTCCTGCATGTCTGTGGAAGTGTTAGCCTGTGGGCTCATCTGGACTGGACTCAGACCTGAGCCCAGCATGGATGTGAACACAGTTCTCTGCATTTCCTCAGAGCAGTTTATGCTTTACCTCATAAAAGCAACGGCGCCATGTGTGAGCAGCTCAGCCACACCTCAGAGCAGCGCTGGGCGATATGCCGTAAAATCCATATCACGGTATAATTTGAAGCATGTGCGGTAAAGATATGTATCGCGATATATTCTTTTCTTCTGTATAACGTATTTTACACACTATAAGGTGCGCTGAAAATCCTTAAATTTTCTCATAAATCGTCCGTGCGCCTTAAGTATGAATTCTGGTTGTGCTTACTGACCTCGAACCGATTTTATGTGCTACACGGCGCTCAAACATCTGTCAAAAAATGTTTTAGTACGACTTTGGTAAGCTACGAAGCCGCACCGCTTGATGGATTGTTGGACCATTATGGCTACTGTAATCAAGGAGCCTCGCGGAGTAATCTGGGTCCTAAACTCCATCTGTTTCAGGTCAAACGATCACTGCGGCATCACTGAGAGTTACAAACTGTCTAAATTCCTTCATCTTTAATAAAATGATCAGCGTTGCTGCTTTACCAGGTGTAATTATTACGTTTAACATCCAGGCATCCATGAAAACAGGATTCATTAAATTTAACAGTTAGAAGTTAGCAGGAAGTTAGCTCGCTAGCTTCCACCTAAACATGATATAGCATGTTCTGACTGAGAGATTTCTGAAACATTCAAACGTACAGCTCTGCTATCACTTCCAACATGAATGAAGACAGAAAACTAAATAGCAGTGACGTTTGTAGGGTTACTGAAGTTGGGCTAGCTGGTAGATAATGATGTGCTACGTGATCGCTAGCGACACAGCTATGTTAGCATAAACAGTGAAGCTGGAGGATGAACGCCAACTTTTTCCCACTCGATAAAAGTTAACGTGAAGGTTCCTGATGGTTCGGGACAAATGCAATCACATGGCAGGATGCTGTAAACGGACCAAACTTCAGTCAGGAGAACAACTGAGATAATCCATCCATTACTGTCGCCGCATAATCTGCAGATGATGTGGTTTACAGCCGCCGCGATGCTTTCGACCAAAACAGGTGCAGCTTGATGACACCATCAACATGTGCTATTGCGGTAGAGCGGTATAGTCAAAATCTGTACCGTTAGCCAAATTTATATCGTTTCTACTGCCCACCCCCACCTCAAACTGGCTGCTAAAAGCTCTGTGATGGACGGGACACGGAGACATAAACATGTCCTCATGAATAATTACTGTGCTGCCTTCACCTCTCCCAGAGTGCTGCTGAGCTCTGATTCACCACGTGGGTTCAGCCCGCACAGCGACACTCGTGAGGATTCCTGCTGAGAGGTTTCACGCTGACCCAAGTCTTCAAGCCTCAGAGAGAGCGCCGTCCTCACAGGAAGCTCCGCCGTCCTCATTCATGCTGACTGCTACCACCCTTGTACAAACTAAAGTGGCCTCACAGCTCTGCTCCGGACCCAGCACCTCCCCCTCTCCCATCTCCTCCTCCTGACCCCGTGTCATTACTCTGAGGGAGCTGCGAGGAGAACAAAAACAGACACTGGGCCTTTAAATCCTGCCAGCAGCCAGGAGAGACCCATCCCCCATCATGCATCTCTCCCTTAGCCCCCCTCAATGTTCAGGCCCTGCAGGGAGCCGGAGCACTGAGCACGCCCCGACGCTGGGCTCTGTTTCACCCGGCAATAAAACAACAACACAAAAGCACACACCACTGTGAGCAAGCCACCGCTCAGCGTCAGGCTGAAGGTGAACCCGACGCTCCTCCTCACAGGCCTGCAGTGATGCGCAGCTCAGCGTCCGTTTCTGAGGCGCGTCCACACGGAGACGCTTCAGGAAAACTGAGCTTTTTAAAAACCAGCTCCAAAGTGATACATCTGAAAACGCAGTTTTTGCGTCGCGGTGAGGACAGCGTCACCGCAGGCTTTCGGAAATGACGCATGTTAGTCATATGATGCAGTCATGTGACCAATTAAACTAAGATGGCGGAGGCCATTACGCCGCAGTCGTTTTGTTTGCTCTCAGCTTTGACAGCCATACTAAAGATTAATATCAGTCAGTAGATGCTCCAGAGAGCTTTTCTTCAAATTCTTTAACTCTCACTCGCTTTTGCAACTTTGTACTTTTGTGTTACTCGCAGCAACAACTCCACCTCATTGTGAGTCCATTTAACAAACTCGCTGCTTTTCAAAGAGCCAGAAAGTAAATACACAGCAGGTCGAGTCGTCTTGCGTTTCACGCGCAGTACTGGAACGTCAGCGTTTCAGTCGTTTCAGTGTGGACGAACAGCTGATAGTGTGGACGCCGAGCGGTTTCAGACAAAAACGCTGTTTTCAAATGTATCCGGATCAGCGTGAACACGTAGAACCGACACTTCCCTCAGGAGGTGGAGAGTAAAGACGACCGCGACACCTGGGGCGTGTTCACACCTGCAGCTCGTTTGCTACAATCACGTGACAATGTTCAGCCTGCTGATTGGTTCTGGAGTTTCGGAGAACACGGGGTGTTCGTGTCACGGCACGCTGCTGACCCGTGCACACCTCTGTACATGTGAGGTACCTGCTGTGTCAAAGCATGCACGGCTGCAGCAGCGCCATCAGGATGTGGAGCAAACGCAGGCCCGGCTGTGGCCACGGCGTTCACACCGAGAGGGAGAACAACCCCAAACAGACCAAACACAGCAGCTCTGCAGTGTCATGACGGCCTCGCTCAGCCTGAGCTTTTACTGCAGAATGAAAGCAGAGCTTCAACCTGAGCTGATGATGCTGAAGTTTTACACGCTGCCTCCACCTCTGTCATTTCACCCAATCACACGATGCCATTGGCCATTTACATCGTACGACCACAGGCTGGTCACAGACACTTTCACAGCTACGCTGACGATCATCGCTGCAGGAATCCATGAGTAGGTCAGCTGCTCTGCTCTGATGTTTGATAACCTGCAGAACACGTCTGCTTCTATCCAACCAGGGAGCTTCTTCAGGCCGTGTTGTATTTTTAAACCAACCACGGAGCGGAAAACTGAATCCCAGCGATTATAGATCAGAACTGGGAAACAGAAGAAAACCCCTCTCACTTTATATCCGTGTACAATTCACAGTCAGACGGCTGTAGCGTGTCTCTGCTGACCTGTGTGTGTGTGTGTCTGTGTGTGTGTATCTGTGTGTATGTGCATGTGTGCGTGCACATCTGTGTGTATGTGCATGTGTGCGTGCACGTTTTCCACAGCAGCTGATAAACTTCCACTTTATTCTGACTGTACAGACCTGCTGGTGCAGATCC